CAAACACTAGGGTGCAAAGTATAAAATACACTCAACTGGCTCAGGCAAACCTTCTCACATTGTTCCCCAGTTCTGAACTTTTTATTTCTTTATTTCATTATTTTTCTAATTTATTACTTCGATTTGTACTGTTGAACATCTGTAATGTTGGACTTTTTATTTCTTTATTTTTCTATTTTTTTTCCTAAGAATTTGTGCTGAAGAACCTGCACCTAGGTACCTTTGTACCTAAGATGGTGCCATAAGTGGCCACTTGTAAACTGTTCACTGTAACTCAAGTGAGTACATGGGACAATAAAGACATTTTAATTCAATTCAATACTGTGCCATTTCCATCTTATCTTATTTGGTTGGATTACAGGAGGTGCTTATTTTGGGAAATTGGGATTTATAGTCTTTCATCTATCCATCAGCCTAGATTTCACACCCAGGTCTGTTTAGTGTCTCTTGAACTCACAACTTTCTGGTTCAGAGACAAGAATGTGAATGATGGTACTGGGATGCACTTGCGATGCCAGGGTATACATGGCTGTATGCCTGCAAGCAGGGAGAGGGAGTTTTGAGACAGAGTAGGAGTGCAACTACTTGCTAGGAGTACCACTTTATCCAACCACTCATGAGGAGCCTCCCTTGGGTCAAGTCAGCAGGCAGCACTCTTCCTTCCAAGTTAGAAGGTCATGTGTTCAAATCTCAGGAGTGGCACGAAGTTGGGTTGATACTCCAATGCAGTCCTGAGGCAGTGAATGTAGAGCTGGCAAAGCACAGCAGGTCAGACAACATCCGAGGAACAGGGAAATCAACATCTCAGGCCGAAACCCTTTGTCAGCAGTTCCATATGCCCTCCAAGGTAAAAGCAAAACATTCTGGCCCTTTGGCCAATATTTATCGCTAAACATCACCTAAGTAAGAAGATCATAACTGCACTGCTGTTAGAAGGTAGTAATTAGTTATAAAGACATCCTAAGGCAATGAAGATTCTATATAAATGCAAATTCTCTCTTTAATTCATGACAAGCTTTCCTGGAATTCCCAATTGGATGGGGAACAGGTAAATTGTAGAAACAATTACTGACTTCAGGGTATTTAGAAATCAGTACATCTGAATCCCAAAATTTATTTGGAAAACTCTTGACTCTGATGAAGGGTCTAGGCTCGAAACGTCAGCCTTCCTGCTCCTATGATGCTGCTTGGCCTGCTGTGTTCATACAGCTCTACACCTTGTTATCTCAGATTTTCCAGCATCTGCAGTTCCTACTATCGCTGACACTTCATTATGTTGCTTTTCCAGAACCCTGGTTATTTACTTTATTTCCGGGTGTTTTCTGAATAAGTCTGGCCAGAAACTGAATTTAACTAAAGGCTCACTGCAAGAAACTGTCAGCGTTTTAAAAAATGTTATATTCCATTTCACTGTCACACCAAGCCTGCACATTCTGGTGTATATCGCTTTAGACATTAAACCCCTCCCCACCCAGAGGGAGACTCTGATGTTTCTCCTGTTCTGGGTCCCTTCCTCCGGCAGACCCTCAAGTTTTAACCCTGGTCATCTTCTGTCAATCATCTTCACAATGTGCTTTGGATCATACAGAATATAAAGAGGCCATTGAGATCATTGGGTCTTCTAGAGTGTTCCAATCAGTCCTATCACCAACCACCCTTCACAACCCATTATTTCCCTTGATTATCACCAAGAATGATCCAATTTCCTTCAGGACATTCGTTTGAACCAACATCCACCTCAATATCAGAGAGGGCATGCATTCCAACTCCTAAGCATTCTTTGTGTAAAGGTTTTTCTTTAGGTTACCTCTGATTCTTTTGCCAATCAATGTATGTATGCCAGTTGATCATCGATCTTTCCCCAATGGAACAGCTTCTTTTTATTCTATCCAAAGCCTTCATAATTTTATATATTTCCATCAAGTCTCCTCCACCTTCTTGGCTTTCTGGAGAACAACCTCAGCATTTCCGTAATCTTTCATCCACGAGACTGTTCTAGTACATTGCTTCTGTCATCTCTACAAAACATTCACTTCCTTGTGGTTTCCAGAACTGGAAGCTGGAGACACAGTGGAGTTGAACATTTTTTTTATAACTCCAGCAAAAAGAATCCCTGCTTTTGTATTCAATGCCTCTGCTTATAAAGATCATCAAAATTGCTGGTTTTAATATGATACATCTTACGACCATTGCACTGTCAGACTGTTGCACACAATGTGGTCGTACATCATTTGCAAACAGCAACCTGTGTCTATTATTTTTCTGAAGGTTTTTTCTAAAATTTTCTGAAACATTACCTTTTGATTTTCAAGGGTTGCAATTCATTCTTACTAACTTATTTATCAGATGCTGCAGTCAACAAGCAACAATACCTCCTGCATTTTTGTTCACATAAGAGGTATTTGGACTCACAAACGAGCGGAATTAGAATAGATTTTTTTTGTTAAGCAAAAGGGATATGGACCATTGGAGATAGGCACACACCTGACATGATCTCATTGAATGGTAGAAGAGGCTTGAGGGGCTGAATGGTCTGCTCCTCAAAAGATTTGCTTGCAACAGTTGTCTTTGAGTTGGGCTAAGCATCATGCCGCTAATGGGGAAGCTTGACTCGTTTGACCCTGCCATCGAACACTATGCCCAGATAGAGAAGGAAGGTTTGGCGGTCATATTTGCAGTTAGGAAGTTCCACCAATACCTTTAAGGACGCAAATTTGTAATAATAACGAACCATAAAGCTCTGCTAGGTCTACTTCAAGAGAGCAAGGCAGTGTCACCCATAGCTTCAGGCCGAATTCAGCGGTGGGCTCTAATACTAAGTGCGTATAATTACAAGTTGGAACACCATCTGCGAGGCCAAGTAGCAAATGTGGACGCATTGAACCGCCTTGCATGACAGATACACCACCGATGGTATTGCCACTGGAAGATTCCATTCTGGTTTTAAATTTTTTGGACATGCTCCCAGTCACAGCTGACAATATCAGACTTTGGACGCAGAAAGATCTGATTCTGGCAAAACTGAAACAGCTAGTGGTGATGAGGGAAACTAAAGGGTCATCACAACCAGAAGTGAACCGTTTTTGGACCCGGAGAGACTAGATCACAGGAGAGGATGGCATATTATTACGGGGAGCAAGAGTGACTGCCCCGAGCAAAGGTCACTTCCAGGAACTCCACCAGGGTCATCCAGGGGTTTCCAAAATGAAGATGTTGGTGAGAGGTTATGTCTGGTGGCCAGGATTGGATGCAGACATAGCTGCATTGGTGGAGCAGTGCCCAGAGTGCCAACAAGGACAAAAATTATTGCCAGCAGCTCCCCCACATTCATTGGAATGGCCAGGTAAATGTTGGACTTGATTACATGTCGACTAAGCAGGTCCTTTCATGGGCTCAATGTTCTTAGTCATATTGGGTGTGCACTCAAAGTAGCTGGACGTGCACAGAGTTCATTCGTCAAACACGGGGATGATGATAGAAAAACTGCGCACATCTTTTGCAACACACAGACTCCCAGAGGTGTTGGTCACAGATAACGGGCCATCATCTACTAGCAGGGAATTTGAGTATTTCCTAAAGTCGAATAGGATTTGACATGTAAGGATACGTATCTCCATACCATCATCATCCAAAGATCTGGCAGAACGAGCAGTCCAAATTTTGAAGGCAGGCTCAGAGAAACAGCCTACAGCTTCACTCGATACCAAACTGTCCCTGCTCCTATTCGATTATAGGACCAGCCCTCATGCAGCTACAAGGATAGCTCCAGCAGAGTTGCTAATGGGGAGACTACTCCATACCAGGTTAAATCTGATCACCCCCGAGCTGGGTGGGTGCGGGGAGGGTGAAGTTGCATCAGGAACGCTAATACCAGACACAAGACTTCACTAAGCAAGAGAGACAGCTTGCTTCAGAGGACCAGGTTTGGTGTACGAACCACGGAAATGGCCTTACATGGGTAAGAGGCATGGTCTACGTCAGGTCAGATCCAGTGATGTATAAAGTTTTGGTAGGTGCGACAGTCCTGAACAAGCACATGGGCCACATAAAAGCTGCAAACTTGCAAACGGTGCGGGGAAAAATATATGCCCGTCTCCTCGACAGCCTGTCAGACTGTTCTGGAACCCATGGGCTCTCCTTCTCCATCAAGCATTGAAGAGACCTCAGAATCTGAGATGGACATGGCAAATGTTGCCCCCTCGATGCCTCTGCCCCTGAAGCAGAGAATAAATTTCTTCTGAGACACAATGGGTGCAAGAAGCAAACTATTGTGCATTACACACTGCCCGTATCAGAGGCTGAGATGGAGGAACCTGACGTGGTGCTGAAACGCCCCAGGAGGAGCTACAAAAAAAAAATTGGCCTATGTCCTTGGACTCAAATAGGGGAGGGCTGCAGTGATTGTAATGAGGTCAGCCAGAATATGAGTTCCCTGATTGGGGCTGTTAATCTGGTCCAATCAGGGAGCCCTGGCTGACAGATATGGACAGATGTATCAGAAGTTCTATTCACTCAGAGAGCTGGCTCTGAGGAGGTTGGATCAGCGTTAAGGACTCTCCATGTGCAAATAAAGGGTGACTTGGTGATAGGATACAGGCGTCTGTGGTGTTATTTCAGTATCCTGAAATATAATTTCTTCATCTTGTTGACCATGCTGTGGAGCTTCCTCCTTAAGCGCTCTATCTCTTGCCTCTCTATCTTCCTTGACATGTTACTTAAAACCTACCTGTCAGATCACACAAGGGAGCAACATCACCTGCAAGTTCATGGGCCATCCCTCAGTGTTCTCTTTTCGAGATAAAAAGACTCAGTCTGTTCAATCTTTCCTGATGAATATGACTTCTTAATTCTGGTATTGTTTAACAGATCTTTTTTGCACCTTTTCTGGTATATACAAAATAAACTACAGATGTGTGCAGTACTCACGTGCAATCTAACCAAGATTTATATAATATTGATCCCAGTCAATTTCAGATGATGTTACAAAGAAAACGACTGACCACAATTTGGGTTCCATTGTCGGGCAGGGTGTCGATGGCGAGACTGGCCCCTTCTAAATCTAGGCTCAAGCGGTCTCCTTCAGTCTCCAACGTTTTTATGGAGTCGATATTGACAGGAGAACTTCGTCTCCAGCGCTGGCCTTTCGGGTTCACGCCGACTGTGCTTCCAATCGGTAGTTGGTAAGTGAAATCTATTAAATTGTACAAAACACAAATGAGTGGAGCAATAATCACTGCAAGATTTCCAGTCTTCTGCAGAAAATAAACACAGGTATAATGTTAATAAACCAATATGGGGAGGTTTTCCACTGAGACCCATCAACAAAAACAATATGGAAGACATTAATGCTAATCCTAGAAATAATAAGAACTGCAGATGCTGGAGTCAGAGATAACACAGCGTGGAGCTAGAAGAACACAACAGGCCAGGCAGCATCAGGAGAGCAGGAAAGCTTCTTCGAAGGGTCCCAACCCGAAACGTCAGCTTTCCTGCTCCTCTGATGCTGCCTGGCCAGCTGTGTTCCTCCAGCTCCACACTGTGTTAATGCTAAACCTAGTTAGTTTTAGTGATAAAAATGGGAGTTGGTTAGTTCAGTGAGCTGGATGGCCAGTTTGCAAGGCAGAGTGACAGCAACAGCACAGGTTCAATTCCCACATCAGCTGAGGTTATCTGCTCAACCTTTCCCCTCACCTAAGGTGTGGAAACCCTCAGGTTAAACCGCCACCATTTCTCTCTTTCTAATGAGACAGCTGCCCAATGGTCTGGTAGGACAATGATGACTTTACCTTTCTTACTGATCTAATCTTTAGAAGTTGTGCTGATGGCTGGATTTTGCTTTATTTATTTAACTGTTGAGATTTCTTGTTTTATTTGTACTTTTGTTGAATTCTGCGCTGTATGAGAGAGGGTGCTAGTGCTAAGATCAGAACACACTTTAACACGAGCATCCAGAAAATTAAGCCGTTAGAAATTTCAGAATCCATAGAAGCAGAACAAGATGGCACAATTTTAAAATTAAAATAAAGAGTGAAATCAGGAAGCACACAAAGGGTAGAGGAAATCTGGAAAGCTGTCCCCAAAATGTTATCGACAATGAGTCAATTGATAGTTTGACAACGGAGATGGGACAGATTTATGTTAGTTCTGAGTACCAAATGATTAAAGCAGGTGAGAGGACTTAAGCCACAGATCAGGAACAATCTTTGAATTACAGCACAGGCTAGAGGGGCTGAATGCCCTACTGGCATTGCAATGTAGAGAGATCATTGTTGTTTCTGTTTTGCTTTTGTTGACATCAGATACATTTTGTTTGTAATGAAGGAAGTGGCAATGAGATGTGATTATGTTTGGATAATGTGGGTTTTTTCAAATGGTGATTCAGAGACAAGCCAAAGTCTCTCCCATGCTGTCTTCAAAATAGTGCCATGGGTGTAAGGCTTTGAAAGCATTAATATTGAGGAGTGGCTTAAACACCACTCCCTATAATGATGATTAATGATTGGAACGAGGTCAGTCAGGTAGATCTCACTGAGTAGGAGTTCCCTGATTGGGGCTGTTAACCTGGGCCAATCAGCAGAAGTAGCTGACAGATACAAAGAGAAGTCAGGCTGGCTCTGAGTTGGCTGATCAGAGGCCATGTGCTGTGCATGCGTAAACAAAGGGTGACTTGCTGACGGAATACCAGCCTCTGTGGAATTATTTTAGATGATAAACGGGTGTGGTGGGGGAACAGTTGAGGGTGTCAAAGGAGTGAGAACCACTGGCCGGGCCCTCCCCACAGTCTCCGTAACAATTTCATGGCAATATCACTGTAATTTGCACCTGTACGCTAACATGCCATGAACTGCATCTTGTTCAAAACTTCCCATTAGTCTAGCAATTGCTTTTCCTGCGTCATGCCAGACTGTGTGTGAGGCATCTAGATTCTTACCCTAAAAGAGGTTCGAGACAGCAAACCTATCCTACAGTGTGCAGATGCCTCGTACAACACAATGGTCTGCAGTGAACTTTCCAACAACAGGGGTTTTCTTTTATTAACATTCACCCGGCATCAGATCACATTCCATTGATGGCACTTGGCACATCCGGCAGCGAAATGTTCCCTCAGGGCTACACTGAAGTGAGAGCCTTGATTTCTGTGCTCATGGCCTCGAGTGAGTCTTGCACCTGAAACCGAGCTCAGAACCGAGTGCACTACCAACTCAGCTACGGTTGACACTTGAGACTTCTCATTCCCTAAAACACATTCCCTCAGCAGTTATCTGCAGTCATGTTTCGGTGACTGAAAGAATCTTTCCTCACATCAAGCCTTCACGCAGTGGCTAGCCAGGGAAACAACAGCTGTTTCTGTACATTGCTGATTTCCTCCTTTCAGTTTCTATTTCCAGCAGGTACAATGGATATTGAGAATAAAACATATTTTACAGGTAAGGAAAATGCAGTTGGTTAATAATTAAAAATGAAACTTTAATTAAAATCGATAATTCATCAATTATTTTAAGTTGGAAACAATATGCACAAGAATAAGTCTCGCAAAAGCCTTGAGGCTGTCCTGACATTCAATTAAATTGTGGCCTGTCTCTACCGTAAATCCCACTATGCACGCTAGTTCCATAATCATTAATACCTTTGCTGAACAAACATCTATAAAAGTCAATTTTAAAATGTATAATTTCCCCATTAGAAACTTTGTGGTGATCGGTGGGGGGGCTGGGAATGAAAATTCTAACTTCCCGCTACCCCCTTGTGAAGTGGTTCAGGAATCTTCCCTGACTGATGTTCAAAGACTTTTAAATGTGAATGGATTTGTTGGATTTCTGTTCGAAGGGGAACTTGCCAGAATTGGCCTATCAGCTGCAGCAGGAAAGAAAATCAGCTGAGGAAACTTTTGGCTCCTCTGAGACAAATGAGAAGGCTTATTTAAATCAAACCATACAATTCCTGACAATAAGTGTTTAATTGTTATCCTGCAGTTGAGTTCACACAAATGTGACTCGGGAAGGATGACCCTCAACCTACATTTCTACCTGTTATAGCAACCTCGGTCGTCAGGGATACAACTGTGTTGCTATGACCACGCTGATAGCAATGCACCATTTGTCCATCCTTACTAGAACTTAACTGTCCACAACAGACCAAGTGGCCTGGGTTCAAGTCCCACCTGCTCCAGAGATGTGTAACACTATTTCTGGAAAATATCGAGCTCTGGTATCTTAGTGATGGCTCTTGTGGTGCAGTGTTAGTGTCTCTACCTCTGAGCTAGGTGGCCTGGGTTCAAGTCTTACTTGCTCCAGAGGTCCCTGATAAAGGTCTTAGAATCATACAACATGGAAACAGGCCCTTCGGCCCAACTCATCCATGCTGACCAGGTTTCCTAAGCTGAACGAGACCCGATTGGCCCATATCCCTCAAAACCTTTCCTAAATATGTACCTATCCAAGCATCTTATAAATGTCGTCTTTGTATCAGCCTCTACCACTTCCCCTGACAGTTTGCTCCATACACGCACCATCCTCTGTGTGAAAAAGTTGCCCCTCTTTTAAATCTTTCCCCTCTCACCTTAAACCTATGCCATTTAGTTTTGGACTCCCCTGCCTCATGGAAAAGACTTTATTCACCCTATCCATGCCCCTGATGATTATATAAACCTCTGTAAGGTTGCTCCTCAGTCTCCTACGCTCCAGGGAAAAAAAAAGCCCCAGTCCCTCCATATAACTCAAACCCTCCAGCCTCGGTAACACCCTTGTAAATCTTTTCTGTACCCTTTCCAGTTTAAAAACATCTTTCCTACAGCAGGGTGCCCAGAACTGTTGCAGACGGTGGTCTTGGATTGGAAAGTATCTAAACTCCACAATCGGGTTCTTTTGTCTCCATGTCTGTGTTCAAGTCCCACTTGTTCCAGGTGACACAGCATATCCCAACAGTTTGTTTAAAAATATCTAAACGCCACAGTCGCTTCCAGTGCAATATCATGGGACTGCTATAAATGGCACGAATGAGGATGGAGCTGCCCTATTAGCTCCTTACATGGTAAAAACTCAAATTTTGTGAAATGCCTTGTGGTGTTTTGCTACATTAAAGGAGCTATAGAAATACAAATTGTTCTTTTCAATGGAAACATAAGTTTTGGTGTAGGTCTTGGCCTTGTAGTATTATCCATTAGTCCATAGAGCCAGGTAATGTTTCAGGACCTGGGTTTGAATCCCACCATGGGACTAGGTAAAATGTGGATTCAATAATAATCTGGAAATAAGAGTCTAATGATGACCATGAAACCATTGCCGATTGTCAGGGAAAAATACCTACCAGTTTCACTAATGTAGTTTAGGGAAGGAAGTTGGCCAACCTTACCTGGTCTGGCCATCAAGTGACTTCAGACCTACAGCAATGTGGTTGACTCTTACCTACCTTCTGGGCAATTAAAGATGGGCAATAAATGCTGCCTAACTAGTGATGCCCTCATCCCATGGATATAAAAAAGCTGACAGGTTTATTCTGAAGACTGAGACAATAGAGGAGATAAATGTCTGATGTCATGTCTGGCAAAACAACTCCATATTTGGGCAAAATTACATAGTGAGGAATGTGAGAGAGTGAGGATGATATTTGTTCCTTTAATGAATCAACCATCAGTTGCCAAAATAATGTGGACTATTAGGCAAGACAGGAGTATAGTGATTGTAACAAGGTCAGCCAGGTGGACCTCATAGAATATGAGTTCCCTGATTGAGGCGTTAATCTGGTTCAATCAGGGAGCCCTGGCTGACATATAAAACCCGTGAGAGTCAGAGATACTGGCTCTCTGATAACTGGCTCTGAATGAGGCAATACTAAAGTCAAGGACTCTTCATGTATAAATAAAGGGTGACTTGGTGATGGGAAACTGGCCTCTGTGGAGTTATTACAAGGTAGTGTAATCAACGTTAATTAGAAAAATAGGATGGTACACCAGGAGGCTATTAGGTCCATCATGCTTATGCAGGTTGTAAAGACTATCCAACAGTGAATAGGACCCACCCATTTTACTCTCAAATTTGATGAATTAAAGTATTTGTTTAAAGAAGGCAACGTAAAGACAACAGAGCCAACAGGAATATAGAACCATGAAATAATACAGCACAGAATGAGGCCATGTGGGCCAACATGCTTGTACTGGCCCTTGAAAGAGCCAATCATTTAGCCCTGCTGTAC